AAACATTTTAAAAAAAGAACGTTCACAGTTCAACAACTGCAAGCAATTTAAGGTAGATTGAATTGGCTTCACAAGTATGACGACTTACATTTTACACGGGCTGTTTTAAAATGTATTTTTTTTGTTTCACTATTTTTTTTTAGTTTGCAACTTCTGTTTATCTGTTTGTTTGTTTGTTTGTTTTTTTGGTTGGTTTGTGGGTTTGTAGCAAATCTTGTAACTCGATTTTGACCCATTTCTAATTCAGCAATTTCGTTCAAATTTTCCAGATACTTTCCACTTTAATAACAATAGTAGTCTCTCTATTTTTATTAGATGCTTAATTAGTCATTACACATTAATTAAACGGTTTCGAAACTATATTGGGGAAAAAATAATCACTCGATAGACTGCTGTGTTTAATAACAGAAGGGAAGATTACTAGCTGGAAGCGATCACCCTAACAAGCTGATGTGCTGTGGTTCATGAGATAGTTTAAATAAAGTGAGCGTGGAGCTGGTCTATATAGGGCAGATAATAATAATTTAAACTATTTGATTTTAAGGGGAGGTAACAAGATTAAGAACTTGCTGCCGTCTGTAAAATATGGTCACGGACGGCTGCTCTCATAAGGGAGATCTTTTAGATATTGCGAGCTACTGATGATGTTTTAAAGCAAATATTTTAGTCGTGTCGACTTAATAAATTAGTAATAATTAAAAAGTAGAGAATAAAACACATAAAGAAAAATCCACCTTTTTAGCAACCAGCTTTCAAATAAGAAAATAAAAAAACCGCTTTACACTCATTTTGGTTTGTTAGTTCTCGTTATCTCTCGCGTTTATTCAAGTCTGGTTAGAAAAAAAAAAAGAAAAGTGTGTATATTGAGGTGAAGTTCCTGAAGTATGCCCAGTCCAGCCAATGTGAGACAACCAACGACTCTTCCGCCAGATACGCTGCTGCATCTATAACCATACACTAGACAGCTTTTTAAAACACTGATCATGAGAATTGCTATGGAAATATAAATTGCAATGTGGATGTCATTGCTTGTATTTGTTTTGTAATTCGCATACTGTGGGAATTGTAAGATTTTAAGTAGGTTTTTTTTCAAATATAAATGGGAACAGCTGCATGTGTATGCATTTCTGAATATAAAAGTTTTGTGGCGGTAAGTATATTGATTTTATTTCTTTTGTTGATAGTTTGTCCAAGGCACTTCTGATTGGTTCATAGAATAAAACGTAGTATTTCTTTCTGAAACCATAGTAGAAAGTGCACCACGAGGAAAAATGTAATATACTGTAGTAGGCCTTGTTTGGTTGCAGTCTTTGTAATATGCTGCTTCGTAATCTTGGTACTGGGTTTTTCACAGAAGTTCTTTCTTTGTTTGATATCAAACAGCGTTATTGCGTTTAAAATTTAAAATATTTTTATTAGCTGTAAACGTCATCTGGATTGTAGCTTAGAACGTTTTCATTTTTAACGGACAGGTTTCTTTCGACTTTGTAAACATGTGCTGAGTTTTGCTAATTTAGTTTCTAAATTTGTGTCCATGCAGTAGACAGTGCGATGACCTGGTAGATTATCTGTTGAATGTTGAAATATATATATATATATATATATATATATATATATATATATATATATATATATATATATATATATATATATATATATATATATAAGGTATCAGTATAGAAGGATAATAATCGGATTAACTCAAAAGTCTGTCAAAAAATGTAATTTTATAATTATTTAAAGTCTATAAAAGCATATTTTTATGTTTTGAAGATTACACTGTCCACCACATCATCAATCCTGGCACAGTAGGTAACCTATTGTTTACCTGAAAGCTGGGATTAAGTTCGTGTGTTAATTGCCGTGGTACATGTAAGCATTCTGTGGTCTGTCTCATGCAAGGTACCCTTTAGAGATAGGTGGACTCGGAGACGTCCTACCAGTCTCGATCTAGGTACTCGTTATGGAAATTTAAATCTTTTGGGGTACAATGCTGCTGGTAAAAAAAACTAGTTTTATCAGAATAGTTCTCTATATCACTTAGACTCCAATTATTTGTAACATAAATAATTGCTGAAGATACTCGATGTTTATAGGTCATGCACTTGGCTCTGTGAATATCCTATCTGTAAAGGACAATGAGTTGTGTGTTTAGTAAGGAGCATATACCCGACATTACCCGGGTTTAGGAAATATATTAATTTTCGAATTAACCCTAACTACAACCAACCAACTCCAAAGCGCAAACACAAAAACAAACATAATGCAGACACAAATGAAAACACAAATGCAAACATAAAGGAAAACACAGACACAAACGCAAACACAAAAACAAACGGAAACAAAAACGCAAATACAAAATCAAACGCAAACACAGAAGCAAACACAAACAAAAAAGCAAACACTAACGCAATGACAAAAGCAAACACAAACGCATACCTAAACGGAAAAATAATGCAGAACATCTTCACAAACTTAAATCTCAATATAGACTGATAGTTCTCACAGTCTATCCCGGAGTGCCAAAATCGCACCCTGTGGAACAGCCTGATTCAACTTAGTAAACGACTATAATACCCCAACTTATATATAGTGTATTGCACTCACTTAAACAAACGTAGGCTCCATAGCGCTCATGGGAAGGCCCGGGCGCTAAATAGCAATCTGTTGGGGCGCCAGAGGACGCCCTGGATTCGAATTAGTGAAGGACTACAGTAACCCTTCTAGTTCATAGTATATCGCACCCTTTAAAACATAGGTAGGCGCCAGAGCGCTTTCGGGAAGGCCCGGAGTGCCAAATAGCACCCTGCCTGTGCGCCGGAGGAAGTCTTTGTTTCAATATAGTGAACGACAATAGTAACCCTTTTTACCCATAGCTTATGCACCATATCGCTCACAAGATAGCCCAGGGCGCCAAATCGCACATTGCCGGGGCGCCGGCGGACGGGCCTCATTCAATTTAGTGAACGACTATTAAACCCCAATCTTGTCCGCAAACGGAAAGATAGAAGTAACATAGAGGGCATTTAGGAGCGGCTTCTAAACTGTTATTGATCACAAATCTCAGTGTATAAAATGAATAAAAGGCAATATTTAAAATATACGTGTTTTACCTACCACATTAAGAGATAAAGATAAACAATATTTAGGAAATAGGTAGGAAAAGTGGTTCCAAAAGTGGTTCCACTTTGTGTTGCCAGAAAGCATATTTTTGAACCAAAATTGAATATTTTATAACATTTGTGAAATAAGTAAAACTCACTTCCGGTTTTTACTAAGGCTAGAATTTTAAACACAAAATTACTAATAATATAATAGTAATTTACCAAACATTTTTATTTTTATTTGGATTAGTATAGTCAGGGTGTTGTGGTGAAAGGGGATGTTATATTATTTAACATAAATAAACTACTAGGCTATATTCCATTGTAATAATAAGTAAAGCGTAATTAATATGATTTTAATATAGGCCTAATAAATCTAGATCGACCTCTGACTATGGGGGTCGTCTATTAACGATGTCACAACGATGCCAGACCTCCCCCTTCCCCAAAGAAGTAAACCTAAGCCAACATTCCCCCCCCCCCCCCTAGTTTGTTTTTAAAGCAGCGATTTTCATAAAATATTTAGACCTATGGGCTTTTCCAGCATTCAATGTAGGCCTATTGATGAATTATTTACAACAATTTATAAAACAACTTTTAATAATGCAAATAAAGGCTTAAATTCAGTTTCTTAACATGAGTGTTTGTTGAACATGGAAAAGTGTCACCTTACTTTCTGAACCCCCTCCCCTTTGACACAAAGGTCCAAATCTCCACCACCACCTCAAAGTCGTTTATAGACGACCACCTCAGCATTTTATATTTATTTATAGGATATTCATTAATTAGTCATACAAACCCAATTACATTTGTTGCTGTGATGGTATCTCTGTCATTACAATTATTAAATAGTTTATCTTAACTCAACATTTCCCCATACCTCATTTGCTATAGCTGCCTATCCTTATAGAAAACATCTTTTCCTCAAATATCTGGAATGCATCTGATCAGCTACAGTCTTTTTCTTTTGTAATGTATAAACAATTACAAAATGTTTATAAACTTGCACAGCCAATAACAACACATTACCAGGAAACAAGCAGTTATTATAGTTTACTGTATTTGTGGTTGATGGTTAGTTATCAGCCATATTTCTCTAAGCTTGGTCTACATTTATATGCTGGTATTTGTGGTATGGCTAGAATTGACAAAAACCCATATTCTTGATTCTTCCCTTATCATGTTTTACAGCTATGATAGATATAGTAGTTTTATTTTTAACATTGTAGAAAATTTAAGTAATAGTTACAAAATACTAAAGTTGAAGCTTAAACCATAACATAAGATATTTTAATAATTGTTCGTTTTGAACGAGATATAATACAAAGTAGAAAATTCTAAATAAAAAATTAAAGTATAATTGTTTGCAGACATTGCCCTTTTATTATTATTTGTATTATTATAAGCAAGCTGTCTTATGGGAAATTTTCATTCCTTATTTTCTTCTTGTAATACAATGGGCTTCATATCAGCATGTTGTTTGGACTAGGAATAATATTAACAAATGATAGATTATATATTGATATAAACTTATATGTAAATAATATTCAAATGAAAGACTTATAGTGGGACTACATATTTGTGAACACATTTGCTAAAGCAAAAGTTCTTGAGTTTAAATTTTAATCCTTTAGGTTGTCTCTGATTCAAATTCAAAGCAGTTAACTGGTACCTGACTGGTTATGGACAGTAAAAGCTGTTTGATATTTTCCTGACCATACAATTTATTAATATGGAAGGGCAACAAAACTAGGTGAAATCTACTTCAGCACCATATTCTTAAAAACTATTTATAGTTCGCCAGTTTAAGTCAATTATTAAATTAAGGTAACAATAATTAGTTTCCGCATACACCATCACACACAACCAGTGCTGAAAAAAATAAACATAACAAACTTTATAAATTTCTTTTTTAATTACATTCAGAACTAATATATTAAAAAAAAAGTTGTTCAATATGAACAAGTTTTCTTGGGTCCAACATGTATCCTTGGACTAGTTGGATCTAATAGGTATGTGTAGGCCATTTTCAGTCAAGCCTGACCACTGTTGAAGAATACTGTATATTAAGTCTTCAGAACTGGAGGATTCAGTGATAAGAGTTTTTAAAAGGAACTTCATCTGACTTATCTTCTCTGTATGTAGTATCTAAAAAAAAAAAACATAAATAAATTTCACAAACTGTTATATTAAACTCATTACATTTATATACTTTAACATTTTATGGTATAATTAAAAATATTTGTCTGTCTTATAAAAATCATAAAGCAATGATGGGACTATTTATGCATGTGATTGTATGGGCTATCTAATTATTACCATTCATTAAATATATAGATCTAAGATTTTCTTTTAATATTTTAATGTAAGGAGTTTGTCATTAAATACAATAGGTCTTCAAAAGTGTCAAAAGTCATGTATATATCATAAAAAAAAAAACAAAATTAAAAATGTATCAATAAAGGTCTACTACTTATGTTTAGCCACCTCAAGAATTAGTTGAAAATTTATATTCAAACTAGGCTACTAAAACTATCATCAATTCATACACCTACTAGAATAAATAAGTATAATTATATTGATTTGAATAGTAAGTTAATCCATCTATGACAATTGACACCTTTTGGCTTAATTAACTATTCTGCATTTTTTAATAAGTTCAAAAGATAACTACAGGAGACTAAGAGTAGACTAAGTCATATATTAATTAAGTAGAACTAAAATAAGACAGCTCTTCACAAGTAAGCCTACTGTTCTATTCAGTAATTTTTACAATTATTAAACTAATGTAGATTAAACTTAAATTTTGGATATTATTTAATGCACTAGTCTGTAACCTTTTATTTAGGCTGCATGTAATTTTTAGTTTAAAATTGTAGCCTTATTAAGCTTAGTTATAGTAGTTAACTTTGTTTAACTTACATACTAATACTAACTACCTGCGCTATCACAGGCCTACTACTACCTACTAAAACTAAAATTAATATGACAACTGTAAAAAATTAAGCATACTTTATTTTTTTACAATACTATTCTATACCTACAGACCTACTGCTATTAAATATGAATCTATTAGTTATTAGACCAACATAAGTTATCATACGTCTAATTAGTAATTTAATAATTACCTCTAAATAGGCCCTAATTCATAATACTAATGTAACTGAAGTATTCAGCAGTATCATAGCCTAAATTATCTAAAATAAAATGTATTCATTTGTACAAATCTAGTAATTTAAGAAGTATTAACTATTAAAATTAAATTAATATAGAACTTATTGGCCTACTAAATAACTGAGTCACTAATGTCATGATTTTGCGATTATGAGGTTGTGTATTATACCTAATAACTATACTTTGAATAGAGTAACTATACTTTATTAATACTACTAAATAGTAAATATATTTAAACAAGTAGGCTCTAACTAATTAGACTAATCATTAATTAGACTACATGTATATACTGCCCTACTAATTACTATTTACTATACGACAAGTCTAAAACTATCTATACCAGCGACACTTTGTAATAATATAAAATATGGGCCTAATTTAATTTATCTATTATTATAATTAACTGAAATATAGAGTATATAGTATAGCAATACTAAAACTTAAAACTATATCTAGATCTAGTCTAAATCCACCACACTAGTCAGACGGTCTACTTTATTTCTATTGGGCCTACTATTAGTAAATTAAATTAGTATCACTACTATACTTAGATTCAGATACTAGATTCTAGATACGATACTATCTATTACAGTTCTAGATTCTACTATTTATTAGTACAATCATTAGGCCTATAGAATATTTATACTAAATACTTATTGATTTTATTGAATAGCCTATATACTCTATACTCTATATACTATATAGATCTATCTAGATATATTTTTTAACAGATAATCTTTCTAGTCAATCTAGTCTGGATCTAGGTCTAGATCAACTTAATAAATTTAATACTTAGGCCTAGGGCCTCCCCTATAATATAGTATTAAGTAGTATTTAGTATTATTTAATATATTTAAGTTCCTTACGCTAAGGCTTAGCTAACTAACTACTAATAATCTATCTATTATCTATTATTAATTAGAATAGATCTAGACTTACTAATCTAGATCTAGTAGACTCTCTAGTCTAGACTAGTATTTTTACATTTAATAATTTATTAAACATATTAAAAAGCCGTAGCATACTATAGAATAGATAGATCTAGATCTAGAGATCTAGATCTAGAATCTTATTCTTAGTATCAATCATGGCGTAGAAGAGCAGGCCTAACAAAAATTATGAAACTTGCGTTAAAAACACTTTTAAAAAAAAGGTAGATTAACAATAAATAAGAATAATGCTAATAATGTTAGATCTTAATAATCTGAGCATAACAGTCATAAAAAAATAAGCCAACTGTAATGAAAGGGGATACAAACGAATTTTTAAAGCTTGAATCGAACTGAAAATCTTCCCTTGTTCGCCATTTTGTTTATTTTGATTACCTTGTCAGTATTTATCATGGATAACAAATGTTATGACTTGCATCGGTTACCTCTCCCTGGCCACTTCAGTTCAGTTCAAGGTGGGGTTGAGGGCGGTTTTATAAAATATGTAAATTAGTACAATTATTCAAAATTATTTTTAACGGCTTCTGTTCAACACAAAAATATGAAAATGAGTGTAATCGATGGTTCCTAATCGACTTTAATTTTTAAAATTGTAGCTATAATTTTATCGCTTGCCATATTTTTTAAAATAATTTTTTAAAAATTTAGTATGATTACATAGACTTTTCCTACCTATTGTCTGCGTGGACCACATTACTATCTAACATCATAAAATGTAAACCTACTCTCCTTACAACGACGTGTTGTATTACTATATGTCAAATATTGTTTTCGAAAAGTCATTTTCGTTTCATTACAAATCTAGATTTTAAAAATTGTTTGGATATTCTTACCAAATATGTCTATGCGTTTGTTGGTAATTTACCACGACGTATCTCTTTGTTTGAGGCGAAAATATAGTTTTATAGTGTTGTAATTCTTGAGGTAAAAAACACACGTTTGATCTATCGTACATTTAAAAAAACACTCGAAGAGGCTAATTGAACGAAAATGGCGCAATTTAAAATATAAAACAAACATAGACGTTTTGAAAATTCGTTCTTGTATAGACGGATAGAGTATACTAAATTAAAAGATATGATGAAATATGTTTGCAAATATTTACATCATGAGACAGCCCTGCTACAAAGGTTTATAATCTACTATAAATACGTAATAGGATAAATGTTTCTACTTTCCAAGCAACGTACCCCCGTGCCTTGGATCGTTAGCTATTCAACAAAAGATGGAGTCATTTGAGGATTAGCCATTTTAGATATTATCTGATTTGATCTCACAAATATTTATTAGAAAATATCATCCGGGTTGTAATCCATCAAAACTTGATACAGATTATTTCAGTCGCAGCTAATGCTATTAATAATGTCTTTACCTTAACTTGAATGAAAAAAACAAAGAAGACTTCGAACAGTAAATCACGCAATAATACTTTAAAATATCTACCGCCTTTGAAAGATGAATCGATAAAATAAAAATCGTCACCTTTAATAAATAAAAGAAGAACGTGGGGAGGGGGGGGGGGGGAAATCAAGATAGTGGCCACTCCGTCATACTAGGCTTAGAGACCTACCAAAAGTACAGGTGTTCTGTTGCTAGATTTCATCGACCTGTACAAGTGTCTGTTGTCAGGATGAATCGACTTCTGCTAGACTCAAATACGAGGGAGCGCCAAAGAGTTGCTAGAGTGACGGGGTTTCTCAAGATAGGCAAAATGTAACAGAAAGAGGTGATAATCAATAAACAGGAACTTATAGACCGATGGAGTATTGAGTAAAGGAGGGAGTGATTTTATGAAGTGAGGTGAATGAGTATAAGGATCAATTTTCTTCTTCGTTTTTAATTGTAATTTTAGATGGAATTTTCTCCACCACAATTAAACATTACGTACCAACATAGTATGCGCCACATGACTCGTTGGTTCTAATTTCAACTTACATTCCTCTATGGATTCTCTTCCATAGCCTTTGTCCATTCAAGAACTAACTACACGGCAATAGCTGTTTTATTTTGATGTTTTCTCATTTAGATAGGTGGATGTCGCCACTAACGAAGCTCTCCTGTAAGCTGTAAGGGTCAATGTTTATCAATAATCTAAAAAGATATAATTACCGCCGAGAGTGGTGGTCGATTTTGTCAAGAGGGTGAAACAGTCCGATAACAAGTAATAATCAATAAATAAAGCATAGGGACAAAATGTGCAATTCGTGTTGAGAAGGGACAAATTAAACCATGCCCGTACTTTAAGCAGTGGTAGTGGGCGTGTCGTCAGTGTTATCTGTGGGGCATCTGAGGTCGGAATAAAGATTATAAATTGTCAAAATTGTTTCAGATTGTTTTGAGCTAAACAAATAGAATGTTGAAATATTGAAGAACTTGCTAACGAATATAATCGTAATGCTGCTAACTTAGAAAATAAAAACATAATGTAGAAATATTGAGGAACGTGCTAACGTCGATATATAAACATATTGTTTCGAGGAGATGCCTGAAATAAATGCTAAATGGGGGGTCGGTGTGGTCGAGTCGGTAAAGCTCATGTTTGCTAAACCAAAAAGTCTCGAGTTCGAACCCTCCGGCAGATTAGGCTCGTTAGCTGAGGACAGCCATTCTTCTAGGAGAGACAAATCCAAAATAAAACTGCCTTGTAGTTTGTTCTTTGTTGGACAAAGGCTATGGAAGCAAATCCAAAAAGAAAAGCAGGCTGTAATCGGAGTCAATGGCCTCAATGGCGCAAAACCAGAGGCCATGTAACGCTTAATTGTGTTGGAGGCGTGGTCGAGTCGGCAAAAAGCTCATGGTTGATAGATTCGAACAGTCTCGAGTTCAAACCCACTGGCAGATAAATCTCGATCCCCTTCAACACTAATAATTAAGAACGAAGAAGAAGAAGAAGAAATGCTAAATGCGACCTTTTTCAAGAGCGAGATTAGTGGTAAGATTTAGGAGTATGATCTATGACTATGTTTTGTAAGTATGTGAAGTAACTATGTTACCATATAAAGCAATATTGTAATAAAAATGCATAGAATTAGCCTCTATACACGAAAAGAATGTTTGTGGAATAAAAAAATAGTATTTAAAAACGATTGCCGAAAACAATAAATAATGATAAAGAGGGAAAAAAATGTCTCGTAAAAAACGTTTTAATAAAAAGTTTTTATGTCCTAATGCACTAAAAAGTAGAAAATAAATTATAGACTACTATTTAAATAACTATATTGATCAACACCAAATAATAAATGTATTATAATATTACTGAGTGTCTCAACAATTTATGAAGAATATACGGACACGTATCATTGGAGTACAAAAAAGTATAAGGAAATTATATATATATATATATATATATATATATATATATATATATATATATATATATATATATATATATATATATGAGTGTGTGTGTGTATGTGCGTTTGTTCTATGAAAAATTTAACCTTTAAGAAGACGACAAGACCGCACATGTAAACATAATATTCTACACTTAACTTAATGAAAAACACGAAAACATTATAGTTCATCAAATACTTTTTATTTATTGGATAAAATATTATAAATTCATATTCATTTGAAGTTTACATGGCAAACTAAGTTCAAAATCTAACAACGTCTTTAAAAAAACGTTTTAAAATGTTGATTAAGTTAAAAGTAAGCGTTTGACAATGAGGTAAGGGGCGTAATCTGTGCTAGTTTGTAGTTTTATCCTAAAATTGAATAAGTCTGCCTTACGACAGAATTTAAGTTACTTCCCTTACCTGAAAACCATAACTAAAAAAAATATCATGCGTGTCAAAAAAGGTTACAGGTAAAGTTTTATCATCTTAAAGATGTTTACCAAGTCTACTTTAATCACTCAGGTAAAAAATATATTTCGGACATACATCTAATATATAAAGCTCAGTTCTGTAAGTAATGCATATGTTTGTCGTTGGAATTGTATGAATTTAAGTGTTAGAAAATTATCGTGCGCATTTGTCTAAATTTATGAGCTAAAAAATTACTATTGAAAGTGTTGGGAAATAATTTTCATTTTTCAAATTATAGTAATAATTGTCGGCATGTTCATTAAACACAAGTTTTAAAAAAATATAATCTTTTACAAAAATTCTAATTATGTCTTTATTTAGTCCTATAGCACTTACTTCCCTTTGATAAATAAGGAAAACACAATTACTTCCCTTTATAAAACCATTGCATTACTTTTTATTACTTTGTTTTGGTGTTGGGAAAAAAATAATTACATAATTAGCGGGGATTGATCAAGTGCAAATGTTGTTGGTATTTTACGGATAGGCTTGGAGTATTAAAATTTTTCATTAAATTTAAGTGAGTGCAAAAGACTATGAATAAGTTGGGGTACTATAGTCGTTCATTAAGCTAAAACAGGTGATTCCGCCCCGGGCGTTTATGTTCGCGTTAGTGTTTTCTCTGTGTTTAGGTGGGTTTGCGTTAGTGGTTTCGTTTTGATTTGGTTCGTTTTTGTTCTTTCTTTTTTCGTTTTTGTTTTTGTTTTTTTTTTGTTTGGGTTTGTATTTGTGTTTTTGGTTGGTTTTGCGTTTTGATTTGGTTTGTTTTCGTTTGCTTTTTCGTTGTTTTTTTTTTTTTTTGGTATTGGTTTTTGTGGTTGGGTTTGTTGTTAGGTTTTTGTTTTCGTTTGCTTTTTTGTTTGTTTTTTCTTTGTGTTATGTATGCTTACATAATGCTCAATTCATACGGACCTTATTGATAATTTATTAAATTTTATTTTTATCATACATAATATACAACATACTGAACAATCTCATATAAGCTTTTAAACAACACTTCACTATACATGGTGTAAAACGTAGATTTAAAGTACATGTCAAAAAGTAGTATTACTATTTTAAATCTGCATCAGTCCTCACAAACGGTAAAGAAAACTGTAATATTAAAGCGAACATGTAACCGACGTTGTAAATTACATAGCTGAGGCACACAAAATTTAAAAAGAAAAAGAAAAAATGTACGTTCACAGTTCAACTGCTGCGATCATTTTAATGGACACCAGCGAGTTGACGAGAATCCTTCCGTAATGTTGTTGACATGGAATAAAAATGTGGTTTTTTTTTTAGATTTAGGACCGTAAAAATAATAAAAAAATAAAAACTTAAGTCTAAAATTAATTAAGAAATTTTATATTTTCAGAAACAATGCTTTAAAAGTTGCAAATCCAGAGAACTTGAAAATTATTTGTTGAGTTTAAGGCTACATTTCTATTTATTTTCATCAAGCCTAACTTATAACCCCATGTTTCACTTTCGTAACAAAACATTGATTGGCTGTACGGGAACTCCGTGATCGATTTCTGACAGCTCCACTTAATAGTTTTTTACTTTCTCGTATATACGAAGTATAGAGAAAG